TATATATATATATACAGTATATATATATATGATAACAAGCGTAAATAAATTCAATTCAGCATTTTGTTGTCACACCTGTCAGCAATCTCTTTCAGTGCACACTGCCTGAACTGCTAATCACACACACCTGTCATCAATTATCATGCCAATTAAGGACAGCTTATATACCCACCACAAACACACAGTCATTGCTTGGTCTCCACCAAGGAGTCAGTCTTTTACCACTGGATGTTCCTGCATTTGTTTCATTCGTCGTTTTTTTTTACCTGTGTCTATGAGTCTGTTTGACTGATCTTCTGTGAGAAAACCAGCATTATCAAGTTAAGGTCTCATCATTGTGTTCATCTGTTTGTTTTGCCCCCTGACTGAGCCTGGTTTCTCCCAAGGGTTTTTCTCAATTTCTGTCACCGATGGAGTTTTGGTTCCTTGCCACTGTCACCTTTGGCTTGCTTAGTTAGGGACACTTGACTGACTGTACAGACAGTATTGGAAGAGAGCTGAACTGGATGATGACCTCACAGAATCATCAATGAACTGACTTTATCTGGAAAATTACTTTGTCTACTTGCATTATTGACAACCTATTTTCCTGTTTGACACTTTAAAGCTGCTTTGAAACAATCTGTATTGTATAAAGTGCTATACAAATAAAGGTGACTTGACTTACTTGCCTGTACAATTCTCCAAACCTGCCATAAAACTCCCACTCCTGGGTTTATCTGCATACTTGCCACTGTGTGTTCTTATAGTGTCGGTAACACTTTATTTATAACATAGTTACACATTACGGTACATGTACTTATTAGAATAATATCAGTATATCATGCATATTTAAAAGCAACTAACCCCAAACCAAACCGTCAACCCTATAGTAAGTATATAGTTAATTAATATTACTTACATTGTAACAATGTCACCTTAAACCAAAATGTAGCTTTTGTGTCTTTTAAATAAAATGATAGCATCATGCGTCACATTAAAAAATAAACAAACTATATCTGTAATCAGCATTTTGAAGAGCCAGCTGAACGACTGTTTAAGCCTGTTTACTGAGCTACCCTTATGATGAATGAAATGAATAAATTAAAACACTCGGAGACCACACATAGCACAAAAAGGAATGTACGACTGCATAGAAATAGGTTATTTGCTAATAAATAGCTCAAAATATCATAAGTATTAAACTTCAGCATAACTACTTGTGCCACATTCATGAATTATATCTTGTGTGGCTTATGGAGGAGAAGAGTGCTATTACTTGTCATTTTTTAAAAGACTTACTATTTTTGCCTACACATCAAAGCAAGAAAAAAAATTAACAAGCCTATTATAAATCGTCCTAGCTCAGAATAATTCATTTGATACCAGAAAAACTCCCATCCCGATATACATCTGGCACAAACAGAAGTAAGTAGCATCCCAAACTGTCTGCCTATCTATCTGTGATTAGGTTGTAACATTCTGTCAATCCAGGATTATGGTACACTGAACAGATATTTTACAGCAAACCAGTTGTAGCTGCATTAGCAGGCTTTTATTAGTGCATACTACAGTTCTGCACATTTCACACATAATTCTTTACAACAAAACATAAATATATTTTAATTTTTAGTTTAGCTTGAGATACATAGACAAGCGCTTTGGTAAACTCAGACAAGTCAATTAAACCTATACATTTTTCCTATATATTATCTTTCTATTCAGTGAGCTACATGTAGGATAAAGCAGAGGTTCTTAATATAGTATGTTGTATGTTGAGGCTCTGTTATTAAAGAATTTTCTTCTACAACACAATATGGTGTTTGCGTGGTAAAAGTCATTGTTGACGGTCCTTATCTGCGAGTCTCTTTGCCTTGTTCTGCAGGTAGCGCACTTTCCCTTCTTCAAACCGCTTCTGCTCCTCTTCACCTTCCAGCTGCAAGAAGATAAATTACACATTTTACACACAAGCACAGTGAAGTTGGATATTGTGGTGTACTGGAAACCCTGCAAAACCCTGTTTATGCACTGTGAACTAACATGAATAAACAACAAACAATTGGATTTTTTCCCGAAGTAATAAAAATAAAGCTTATTGGATTATATTTTATATATACAGTGGGGAAAAAAAGTATTTAGTCAGCCACCAATTGTGCAAGTTCTCCCACTTAAAAAGATGAGAGAGGCCTGTAATTTTCATCATAATACACCAATTAAAATAAATAAATAAATAGATGCATCAGATGGTCATGTTCAAAAATTAAGATTATGACAGTTATTTTGGCATAAAAAAAAAAGTTAATTATTTTGGTGTAAAAATAACCTTCACTAACATTATAAGTGGACCTTATAAAAAAGTTAACCTTTTAAGATCACTGTGCTCTGTGGTTCTTACTCTATGGTCACTAAACTTTGTGCTCAACTGACTTTATTCGCACGCATGCAAACTCAGGAGACCGTAAATGCACATTCTGATGTGTATGAATGCAAATTCACATGACGTCTAACCAATAGAGAGTCGAAACGTCACAGACCGAACAGAGCTGAACTGAAAGAACATAAACGTGAAAGTCGCAGGTTTGCAAAGTTATGGGAAAATGGAGAACAGCAAATGGTAGATTTTCAAATTCTTGTCTTTTGTTGATACTTTTAAACTGCAACTAATTTGTGGAAAAATTACGCATCCATTCATCAACAGTCATGTGCGAATTTGACAGTTGCAAAAAATGTCTTGGAGACCTAAAATAACAAAATATGTTTGCTTTGGGAGCACAGCTTCATCATGGACAAACAACAACACTGTGCGAGAGAGCAGGATGTCAGTTGGCGTTAGGCTTGATCTTGCAGCTGCACACTACACCATGGCTATTCTTATCATTCTACACCAATTAAAATAAATAAATAAATAGATGCATCAGATGGTCATGTTCAAAAATTAAGATTATGACAGTTATTTTGGCATAAAAAAAGTGTTAATTATTTTGGTGTAAAAATAACCTTCACTAACATTATAAGTGGACCTTATAAAAAAGTTAACCTTTTAAGATCACTGTGCTCTGTGGTTCTTACTCTATGGTCAGTAAACTTTGTGCTCAACTGACTTTATTCGCACGCATGCAAACTCAGGAGACCGTAAATGCACATTCTGATGTGTATGAATGCAAATTCACATGACGTCTAACCAATAGAGAGTCGAAACGTCACAGACCGAACAGAGCTGAACTGAAAGAACATAAACGTGAACGTCGCAGGTTTGCAAAGTTATGGGAAAATGGAGAACAGCAAATGGTAGATTTTCAAATTCTTGTCTTTTGTTGATACTTTTAAACTGCAACTAATTTGTGGAAAAATTACGCATCCATTCATCAACAGTCATGTGCGAATTTGACAGTTGCAAAAAATGTCTTGGAGACCTAAAATAACAAAATATGTTTGCTTTGGGAGCACAGCTTCATCATGGACAAACAACAACACTGTGCGAGAGAGCAGGATGTCAGTTGGCGTTAGGCTTGATCTTGCAGCTGCACACTACCAGCAGTTAAAAGGAAACTGCATATGGAAATAGCCAATATGGATGCTGAAGAAAGCGTGCCTGGTTTGTTTTATCTGCTGAGACTGGAACTGTAGTTGAGTAGGCCTCTACACAAATACATGAATGTAGGCTACTTCTAGCTTGAATTCACATACCACATGCTTTCTATGTGTCACAGAATATATAGCAACACAAGCAGTGTCGTATTCTTAAAGTTACTGCAATGGACAGTATAGCAGAACTTAACCATTACTTCTTGTCTCTTCAGCTCAGCTACTGTAATGTCATGGCAGAGAAACTGCCTCAAAAAGTTAATTAAACTGATTAGAGCTAGCTACATAACAGAAAGTCGACCCACTTGAGAACTGGGGTTTCTTACGCCACAATATCAGAAGAAAACACATTATATACAGTAATGAGACTGCACACTTGCAATGGTATTACCAAATTAAAATGAATAGTATTCGACTGGTAATGTGGTCATCTCAACACATCTGCCTCCATGTAAATATTAGCAAAATACGGAAAAAGTAGACTTTTAAAACAGAATTATAACTTATGAACAAACAGGACATTATAAAGAAATTCAGGGAAATCTGAATATGATATGAATATGTAGACCTCACTAACAATTCTGACATGACCAAGCTTTTGGCAAACATTTGATTTCCAGTGGCCCACATAAGCACAGCAAAGGCAGATTATTGCATCAGATCTGCCTCCTTAATAAAGCTCTCTGCAGATAGAGCAATATAATTCCATTACACTGACTGAGCGACGTGTGAGATCAGGACTTGCATTTCTGATAAATGGATTATCTGGATAACATCTGCCTCTCTCTTAACTGTCACTGCAAACAGTTTCTCAGTAGACAGTCAATGCTGAGGTTGAATGATATCCATTATGAACATGAATCCATAATGGACATGACCCTAAAAATACTTCAGTTGGTGCAACTTAATGTGAAAAAGTTGATTCAGTCATATTAAGTAGCATTCTAGCTTGAATAAAACCAGTTAATTTGGATATTACTGCATTTTTTCACCAAAAAGCATCATAGAAGTAGTTTAATGTTGAGTAGTCCAACTTCTGAAGCCATTCAAAAGGAGGAACACTGGAAGCTCATATTCACTGATAATCTTCTCTACAATGGAACCTTTGAAATGTCATTTGCAACTGAGTTCAGGTTGTTTGCTGTATGGGAAAGAGTTGATGAAAATTCTCCTGTTGTGTTCCATGGAAAAATAACAGCATATGGGTTCAGAAAGATATGAGGGTGAGTAGATTATGACAAAGTTTTTGTGTGGGTGAACTCTTCCTTTAACAATGTCCATCAAAAACTCACAAGCTGTAGAAAACTTGAGCTGAGGAGTCTGGCTATTAATGAGGGAAATAAATGTGGTTTGGGACAGGGTGAAAAGTCCCTGAGCCCTTTTCACTTCTTAAATTACACAAATTACACTTAAAGCGTTTTGGTTAAAATAACTTCAGCAAAGTGGCACTGTTATGCAACATGAAGGCATACTATAGCCTGCTAATATACCAGCTTTCTATACAGATGATATGACACCACATTTGTGCTGTTTTGTCAGCAAGCAACCAGTTTTGGGAAGGTTACTTTGGAAATGCAATAGGTTACAGATTACAAGTTACCCTATTTAAAATGTAATAAGTAGTGTAACTACTTCAGTTACTTTAAGTAATGTAACTGATTACATTTGATTACTTTTCTAAATTTCTAACGAATGTTTTCAACTGTTAATCATTTTCAAACATTTATACCAGGCAGGGTTAACCTAACAGTAGTACTCAACACTGATTCCCGTCAGACTTTCAAAATCCTTCATCACATGGATTAAGATTATAAAAACTTAATTTTAAAGCACAGCCACCAAAAAAATCAGTCTTTAGCACCTCTTTTTACTTTGATATTAAATACAGATTTACAATCATAAGAAATAGTTTAATAGCTATGATACTGTTTTTGAAATCACACGAAAAACAGACACCTAACAATGCCTTGGAAAAAAAAGTTAATCTTAAAAAATAAAGCATATACAAAAAGGAAATAAAACAATTATCGAAAAAGCATGTGTCGTATCCTGTGTCCAAACTCCTAAAACATTGGTGTCTCATATTTTAGAACAGTCAATGCAATTTGGGAAATAAATCAATTAATTATGTGTGTGTGTGTGTGTGTGTGTGTGTGTACCTGGTATTTATCACGTTATGGGGACCAAATGTCCCCACAAGGATAGTAATACTAGTCAATTTTGACCTTGTGGGGATATTTTTGAGGTCCCCATAAGGAAACAAGCTTATAAATCATACAGAATGAGTTTTTTTGAGAAAGTAAAAATGCACAAAGTTTCCTGTAAGGGGTAGGTTTAGGGGTAGGGTTGGTGTAGGGCAATAGCACATACAGTTTGTACAGTATAAAAACCATTACGCCTATGGAATGTCCTCATAAAACATGGAAACACAACATGTGTGTGTGTGTGTGTGTGTTTGTGTGTGAAAATATTTAGATGTAATCGTTAACATTTTCATAAGTAACTGTAATTTAATTACACTTTTACACTTTAGTAACTGTAATGGATTACAGTTGCATTTATTTTGTAATTAAATTATGTTACATGTAACTAGTTACTCCCCAACACCGCAAGCAACTGTGATTAAACATTTGAAAAGGCATTACTGCCAAGCAGTTATCAATTTTAGAAATAAAAAGTGATCCAACGCCTCCATCATTTGTACTTTCTTTAAATTAGAACATGAGCCAGAATCTTGGGAAATGCAAGTAGCTTTTTGTAAACCCACTGTTTTAGTCTCCCAAATTTAGATCTGTGCATAGAACGTCTGAGCTATCCGAAGGGACCATTCACACAGAACGCATATTTGTTTTGAAAAACAGAAGACATGAGCAGTAGAACAAGAAAAAATGCAAGCATCTGAGAAGCGTTTTTAAATATTGATAATTATTATTTTACCTTATTTTACCCTTAGTGACATGTTTTTAGAATATCGTGTTAAGTGCGAGGTGTAAACGCAACGCAATGGTCAAAGGCGTCCATCATCTAGGCTCGAGTCCCTGTCCCTTTAATATCACCGATGCTAAAGTGCCCTTTCGGTTTGCGATTTCTACCGAGGGGGACAAAAGCCACTATACTGTTTGTTAATGGTGAGCTGAGTGACGGAAAAGCAGATCTCTTACATCCATAACCACCTTTACATTGATTATCATACATAACCAACAGAAAACAAGAAATTTGTTGTGTTTATAACAATAGCAAAATGGCTCTCATAAGAGCCAAAACTTACCTAAAATGTTAACATTCTCCTGTTGATGCCTAATCTAGTATCACATCACTATTCTTATTTTGCAAGTGACATTTCACTATACT